ATTATATATATATATATATATATATATATATATATATATATATATATATATTCAAAGTAATAAAACTGAAATAATTTTTTAATTTTTTGAGATGAATGATAGAATGATAGGTGATTTTGGAACCAGGATGACTAATTTAATACAAACTGTTTTCTGTTCGCAGGTCCAGAACCAGTTTTGTTGTTTGCGAATCGGATTGATATCCGTCAGGTTCTGCCGCACCGCTCAGAATACACATTATTACTGAATAATCTGGAAAATGCCATTGCATTGGACTTTCATCATAGCAACGAGCTGGTGTTCTGGTCAGATGTGACACTGGACCGTATCATGAGAGCCAGTCTGAACGGTAGTAATGTGGAGGAGGTCGTGTCCACGGGACTTGAGAGCCCAGGTACGCAGTTGTTTTCACTGTATGTTCCTCATATTCACTGATTTATGACTCGTGCTTGTTTTCCCCAATTAGCTGAATAAAAAAAGCAAGATGCAACAAAAATGGAAAGACACTTATAGTCAACAAGGCATAGACACTGTGTAAATAAGAGCGTGTAGACAGCTGCATTGATTATAACAGGAGTGCAGACTCGTACTAAACTGCAGCTGCGTGAAACAGTCTAAAGTAGTTAGTGACAATTTCAGTGATGGATAATGGAAGCGTTCCAGGATCATTATGTTGCTCGCTTTAAGTAGAATTTGTTCAAAGTTTGAATAACAGTTTTGTTGTTTATGCTGCTTAGTTAAAGGCATAGTTCACTCAAAAATGAACATTCTGTCAGCATTTGCTCACCCTCAGGTTGTTCAAAACCTATATGAATTTCTTTCTTCTGCTGAATTATTTTGAAGAATGTTTTGGTCAAACAGTTGCTAGTTCCCATTGACTTCCATAGCTGTTGGTAGACATTGACTTCCATAGTATGGAGAAAAAAAAATACTGTCGTCATTTGTTTTAAGCAGAAGAAAGAAATTTATACTGGATTCGAATAACCTGAGCGTGAGCAAATGATGACAGAATTGAGTGAGCTATGCCTTTAATCATTGAGTTTGACAGTTTAGGTTTTTGATTTACAGACGTATAAAACCGTAATAAAGTCATCCAGGAACAGTTCTTGGTTTATTTTTAATGCTTTTGTAGCTTAGATAAAGAAAATGGAATGCAATTTCCCAACACAAAAACTCAACAACAACAAAAATGTCAAATTAAATAATGAAAATCATGTTTTTGTCATCCCATTTGACAGCCCTAATGCACTGTGTAAAAAGAAAATTAATTAAAAAAATTATATATATATATACGTATATGTGTGTGTGTATGTATATGTCTAACACATATATTTTACGGAGTGACTTTTCACTAAATGATAGATAAAGTATGTCAAATGTTAATTTCATGCTTTGGCAAGGAAACAAGGAATAAATAATACATAACATGTAGTAGCAATAATAGTTTGTTTTAAAGCAGCAATAATAGTTTTTTCCCCATATTATTATTCTTAGGTGGTCTGGCCATAGACTGGATTCATAATAAGCTCTACTGGACTGACTCGGGGACGTCTCGTATTGAAGTGGCCAATCTGGACGGCACACAGCGTAAAGTGCTTTTATGGCAGAGGATGGAGAAACCCCGTGCCATCGCTCTGCACCCCATGGAAGGGTAAATATTCTGGCAGTTGTTTTACTTAAATTATACTGTAATTTGCAAATAATGCTGTTTTTCAGATGGGTATTCAGCACAATAATTGCACAATAAATACTCCATACTGATTTTGGACTGGGTAGGAAGTCTTGCATTCTATGAGTTACAGTATTTTCGTAGTACCCCTTGAGAAAAATAGTGTGATTTATTGTATTGAATGTGCATTTGTAGTGCACTTTAAATATTAAAAGTATATGTGGTTACATTTTATTTTAAGATGTCTTTAAGCACTGTTATTAATTAACTACATGTATTTACTATATGCTTAGGATTTGGCTTAGTGTTACTTGCATGTAATTATGCATAATTTATTGATATTATAATAGTAAGTACATGTAACGTGTAACAAGAACACCTTAAAATAAAGTGTTACTGTATATTTTTATAAACTGTGCTTGAAGATAATTTCATATGAATAAAAGACCACTTAAGTGACTGAAAGACACTTTCTTAACACACACAAGTACACTTTTAAAAAGTGACCTTTGTAATAACGTCACATGAAAAGTTTGACTTATTTTGATTTTAAATGGCATCCTAAAGTACATGTAAAGCACTTGATTATCATTTCAGCTGTAGTGTCATTTAGTATTACATAAAAATATTTTTTAAATGTACTAAAGTGCAACTCGTAATTACTAATGTCTAGTTCTAAACATATATTTAAACACATGACATTTTATCATAAATGCTTGTCAGTACATTCAGCAGTACTTTTAACCATATTTCAAAGAAAAATAGAAGTAATTATGAAATCACATATCTTGATGCACTTAAGTCCTACTTAAGTGGGTCCAGAAATCACTCTTAAATTCCGCTAACTGCATTTAATATAAAACCATAATACATTTTAATTTAATTGCAGTTAGCATGCAGTTATTGTAAGCGGCCAAAAGCATTACATTCAGTATATTTTGTAAAGTATATGATTTCCATAAGTACTTTTTAAAAGTACTCTAAAGTGTACCTCTTTTTCAAAACCGACATCAGACTCTTTCCTCATTTTTGAACCCTTTTATTTTATGTGCATACAAAATTCTGTACAATATTTTAAGAAATGAAAATTGTGACTGGAACCTCTTTGTTCTTTTGCATTGGGAAAATCCCCTCTTGTGACCAGTCGTTGTTGTTGTTGTTGTTGTTCTGTAATAAGCAATGGTAAGCAGAGCATGAAACCATTCTGGTGACTACTGGCAAAACATCATAACTCAATTTGCTTCTAATCACAAAGGCTGGGCAAAAATTTCATCCAGGGATTGTCACAAGGCTTGAGTTGCAGCCGACGCTCATCATGGCTCTTTGTCATAGAGAACAAAGGGGTTTATGAAATCTGGCTTGAATTCCCTCTACAACAAGATTTAGCCCTTGTTTTCGACCGGCTGTGTGTCCGCTGATTCTTACACACAGATGCATGCAGATCTTGCTGTATGTGAGAAATAATAAGCCTGGGAAATAAGCCCTATCCAATTTACTGATGGATCAAATGCATGGCGTTGTTCTTCAAAAGCACTTATTTTATTAACTTAAATGAAGACTGGTAAAATCCTGAGGACAATAATTCCTGTCAAAGATGTGTATCCAATGTTATGTTGTTATCAAATAGAACATTAATTGTTATGGTTGCTTAATATTATAAAACAAGATTTCTAATTGTTTATGCTCTGTCTTTAGGAAGATTTACTGGACCGACTGGGGAAATATGCCTTGCATTGAATATGCCAACATGGACGGCTCTAATCGCAAAATAATTGCGGATACGCACCTCTTCTGGCCAAATGGACTTACCATTGACTACGCCAGTCACCGTATGTACTGGGTGGACGCCAAACACCACGTCATTGAAAGAGCTGACCTGGATGGGAAGAACAGAAAGGCTGTCATCAGCCAAGGTAAAAAAAGTCAATATATAATATATAGTAATATAAAAAAAAATATATATATATATAGAGAGAGAATATATTAGTTTTTTTGTAATGCTTAAATAATATAAAAATTATGAGATAATAAATTACTTTTATTAGTATTTTTATTTTATATCATATATATTCTCTGAATTATTTATATAGATATATATATATATATATATATATATATATATATATATATATATATATAAAAAAA